ATCTATCTATCTATCTATCTATCTATCTATCTATCTATCTATCTATCTATCTATGCTTGCTTATTTGAGGCAGGGTCTCACTCTAGCTCAGGTTGACATGAAACTCTGTCGCTTAGATGATTTTTTTTAAAGTAGTCTCTTGATATTACAGGAGCAAGCCACCATACTTGAGATAGTTAAATTTCAGTTAAACAACAAATCTCTCTTAGTATGTCCCAAATAAATCCCAAAGGGAGCATAATTATGCTCAAATAGTTTATGATTATCTGAAATTCAAAATCAAATATATAACTGGTATTTCATCCACAAGTCTAGGCCTAGTTAGCCCACATCCCACACCTCCTAGAAGCTCTCAGACAATAACCTTGGAGCACCACGACTATGATGGCCTTCACGACTAAGATGGAAAGGAAGAGGGCCCATCCCTGGTCAGTGCCTCTTGCTTGCCTGGAGTGTTTCCTGACATCCTAGCGTTCCAGGCCCTGCACCATGGACAAGTCAAAAGACTGGGCCGTAAAAACACCATGTAGCTTCTAATCACACAGCTCCCCATGCTAGAAAGCAGAGCAGGCCCAGGCTCTGCCACCCCCACGGAAACATTGAGAGAACGCTGGCTCCTCCATGGGATACAGGCTGATGGATAGTCAACCTGGGGCCCTCTGACAGGGGTGTTCCCATAGATCATTCTGTATTTGCCCGCGCCTCATTTCATGTCTTTAGGCAAAAGTCTGCCCTCTCTCTCTCCAGAGGCTGAAACCTCTGGAGATCATTTTGTCTGATCTCATACTCCAGAGGAGGGAGCTGAGGAAAAGGGAGGTTGGGGACAAGCAACAGCACACTTCCATAGGTATCCTAGTTTTCTTTCCACTGCTGTGATGAAACCATGACTAGGAAGCAACTTGGGGAGAAAAGAGTTTATTTTATTTCAGAGCTTACAGTCCATCATGAAGGGGAGTCAGGACAGGAACTCAGGGCAGGAAGTTGGAGGCCATGGAAGAGTACTGCTTCTTAACTTGCTCTCCATAGCTTCCTCAGCTTTCTTTCTCAAACACCCAGGACCACCTGCCCAAAGATGCCATCGCCTGCGGCAGGCTGGGCTCTTCCACATCAATCAGCAATCAAGAAAATGCTCCCACAGGCTTGTTTCCATGCCAGTATGATGGGGACTGTCCTAAGTTAGGGTAACTATAGCTGAGATGAAACACCTTGACCAAAGAAACTTGGGGAGGAAAGGGTTTATTTGGCTTACACTTCCACATTATAGTCCATCACTAAGGGAAGTCAGGACATGAACTCAAATAGGTCAGAAACTTGGAGGCAGGAGCTGATGCGGAGGCCACGGAAGAGTGTTGCTTGCTGGCTCCCTCCTCATGGCTTGCTCAGCCTGCTTTCTATAAAACCTATGACATTGAGGGCACCACCCACAACAGACTGGGTCCTGTTCCATCAATCACTAATTAAGAAAATGCCCTACAGACTTGCCTACAGCCCAATCTTTATGGAGGCATTTTCTTGAGGTTCCCTCTTCTCAGATGACTCAATATTGTGCCAAATTGACAAGAAGTAATCAGAACAGAAAGCACATGGGGATACCACAAAACTCCCTCAATCCCTCCCACTCCTTCAATGTTATTCACTAAACTCCTATTGTTCAGGGTCCAGGATAGTGACTGGGGATTTAGAGGTGAATAACACAGGATTCCTGTTCTTTGAAGAGCTCCCTGACTAGCTGGAATTATGGGCATTCAGACAGCATAAACGTAAGCTCAAGTAGAGCAAAGCCAGAACATGGACGAAGAAAAATTATAAGGTCAGTCAGGGTTGAGAGAAACTTGGTGGCAAAATACCTGCCTAGTATGTGTGACACTTTGGGTGTCAAACTTAACATAGATGAGAGATAGAGAGCAACATAGAGGGGTCAGGAAGAGAGGGGGAAGGAAGAGAAAGCAGGAGGATAACTAGTGAAAGTTCCTAGAGTTTACCAGGCATAGCGGCACACACCTGATATAATCCCAGCATTCAGGAGGTTGAGGCAGGAAGATCAGAAGTTCAAGGCCATCCTCAGATGATAGTGAATTTGAGGCCAGCCTGGGCTGCATGGCAGTCCATCTCAAAACCAATAATGACAAAGTACTTGTTCCTTATTAAGAGTGTCTGGCGACATTATAAGTGCTTCATGTATTTTAATTTTTTCGATCTTCCCTTATAACCAGCATATATGGCTGGCATTTTTGTATTTGCATTTACAAGGGAGGGAATAGAAATAGAGTGGTGCATCCTTGTGTCTGATGTCACACAGTGTGTAGGTCTCACAGAGCTCTGGTTCCTAGGGACTTGCAAATACTTATCAACTCTGGTGAGTAAGAAGAGTGAGGACTGGGCAAAGAAAGAAGGCTTATGAGCTTCTTCATTGAGGAAGCAAGATCTCAACTGGGTCCTGAAGCAGGTGTAGGAGTTTTCAAAGCTGGGGGTTTGGGGATGAGACAGAACTATGCTCCTCTGTTTGTTCAACGATTCCCTAGATGGAAAGAGGTGTTGAGATGTCCTCTAGATCTGTGCTCATATGCCAGGAAGAAAGGGCCAGAAGGGAAATCTACTGACGGTGACGAGCAAAGCCTTCCTGTTTAGTAAAGATGCTTAATCGCAGCTTCCACTAGGGACACGGGAAAGGCCTATTGACCTCTTGGCTGCCAGTTCCGGTGGCCACGTTGGGTAAAGGTCACAGAGCTAGATGAGGTGGAAGTCAAGATGGGGGCGCATAGCTGACCAGCTGAGAACCAAGGTGGCCTGGGAGGTGCAATGGGAGCTGAGTGGGGCGGTGAGCAGCCTCTCAGTAGTGAGAGGGAGAATGTGGAAGTTACTTATCTGAGAGCACTGACTACTCCAGTTAGGAGCACAACCTGGTGACCCTGGCCCCTCGTCCCCTCCAGAAAGAGTCGCAGTCCTGATGCCAAGAGGGCAGCAGCTATTGAACAGCAAAGGTCATGGCTGCACAAACTTGAAGGAAATTTCCCCTAAATTCCAACCCTTATCTCTAACTCCTTTTTATGACCAACTGGAAATCATCACGGGCATTGCCGGGACCGGAGTTTTATGAGCTGAAGAAAAAGCAAATGGGAAAAATGAGCAATAGTTCTGATGACACCTCTCCTGCGATGAAGACAGAAGCCAGGCAGTGCCGGGCAGCCAGGCCAGCTTCCCTGTGCCTCCTCAGCAACTGACTCTTCTTTGCTTGGCTCTTTCCAGGGATAACCACAGGGTCTGGATGATTAGAAAGCAGGCATGGGCTCCTTCATGGTGGCATGGGGAACCCCTCATCAGCTGTCTCCACCAGGTGGGGAGCGGACTCCTCCCTCGTCTGGGCTTAGACAGCGGAACCCTGTGCAGACCTTCATCTCAAGACAGACTCTTGCTGTGAAATTCTTGGCTTATATTTTGGTCTCCCCTGGAGTCAGGAGGGGGTCCTGTCCACAAGAGCGTTGGCCCTAACACCTGAGATTCTCAGTCTCCTAGAAACTTGCTAACAAAACAAAAACAAAAACAAAACAAAACAAAAAAACTCGGCTCAGCCCTATCCCGAAAACTTTGGACTCAACTGAACTGATAAAACCTGGGAACTTGCATTTCTAACAAGTACTCCTGTGTCACTGATGTTAATGGCCACTGGGACACGATGGCAAGTCAAAGTTTATTATGTACGAGGCACGGGACTAAGCATGGGAACCCCTAAATTCCACTCAGGCTCTGAGGAGTTTTTGTTGTCGAAGAGTGTGCAGAATAACTCTATGAAGATGCTTCCCCCATCTTTTTGTTTCATTTCAGGAAAAAAGAAGCAAATAGATGTGAAAGCCATGTTTTTGTGTAAGTATAAAAATTATTATCATTAGTGAGGCTCAGTGGTACATGCCTGTAATCCCAGCATTCTGGGAGGCAGAGGCAGGTGGATCTCTGTGAGTTTGAGGCCAGCCTGGTCTACAAAGTGAGTCCAGGACAGCCATGGCTATACAGAGAAACCCAGCCTCAAAAAAGAAAGAAAAATTATTATTGTTGTTGTTGTTTTTCAAGACAGGGTTTCTCTGTGTAGCCTTGGCTGTTCTGGATTCACTTTGTAGACCAGACTGGCCTCAAACTCACAGAGATCTGCCTGTCTCTGCCTCCCTGAGTGCTGGGATTTTAAAGGTGTGTGCCCCAACGCCCAGTGAGCATAAAAAAATTATTAACATGAATGAAATAAATTTGGTTAGAAATGTTTAGAATGAGCATGTCTTGCACCGGTAAGCAAGCGGCGTGGGAATACAGAGGTGGCCCTGCTCCTGCCCTTGTCAGATATGGTAGCTGTGATAGCCAACCTCTACCTATCCGGTTCTTTTTTTTTTAAGATTTATTTTAATTATATTCCTCTGTGTGTGTATCTTTCTGTGCATAGATGTGTTCACATGAGTGCAGGTGCCCAAGGAGGCCATAGATGCTGGATCCCCCAGAAGCTAGAGTTGCAGGAGGTTATAAGCCACCTGACGGGGGTGCTGGGAACCACACTTGGGTCCTGTCTTGGTCACTGTTTGATCTAGTCACTCTATAGGCTGAGAAGACACGTGACCAGGCAACTCTTACAAAAGAAAGCATTTCATTGCGGGGTGGGGGGTGAAGTTTCAGAGGTTTAGTCCATTATTATCACGGTGGACAACATAGTGGTACTTATGGAACTGGAGCGGTAGCCGAGAGCTACATCCTGATCTATGTGTAGGGCAGAGAGAGACTGGGTCTGGCCTGGGCTTTTAAAACCTCAAAACCCACCCAAAGTGACACATTTCCTCCAACAAGGCCACCCTTAATCCTTCTAATCCTTTCAAACAGTTTCACAGCCTGGCGACTAAGCCTTCAAATATTTGAGGCTATGAAGGCCATTCATATTCAAACCTACTTTTTTGCAGGTCCTCTGCAAAAATAATGTGTGCTCTTATCCACTAAGCCATCTCTCCAGCCTCTAACACACACACACACACACACACAGTTCTTGACTGGAGCCCTTCCCTCAGTTGCTTGCAGGTCAGCTTTCTCCTTCGTAAGGGCACTCTTGTCCTCACACGACTCCTGACAGCCAGGAAACACAACAGAGTCTCTGTTTACATCAACCCTCCTCTGGGATGTAAGTATCCTGAGTCAGGGCCTTTGCCTGCCTGGCCCATACTGTTCCAGTTCCTATAGCTGTCCCTGAAGATCTGATTAGTAAATGAATGGTGAGATTCCCCCACTCTACAGGGTAGGTTCAGCTTCACGATTGCTCTGCTTCCTTCAAGTTTCAAAACCTGGGAAGTCTTATGAGTGCCAGTGCTGCTTCAGACTGCTGTGATGGGGTTCTCGTTGGCTCAGTAACCCCCAGGTGTGTCCCTGAATATGGAGCATGAGTCATGGATTCTGAATATAGACGCAGAAGGGAAAAGAAACAGAATCACCCTTGTCTCTCTCAGGCTCAGTGCTTTTTCCTCCTCTTAACAGGCCTCACTTACCTGTTCCACACGAACTTGGGAGCTGACCAGAAGATGGGCAACTGAGTCAGACAGGCCAATGTTTTTCTTGAGAAATAGAGTCATTGTCTCTTCATCTCTTAGGATGTCTCGGATTTGTAATCCTCTTCCTGCACATGAGTGAAAGAAAGAACAGGATGTTGAAGGGAGATGAGTCGAAAATAAGAAAAGCAGCTAGAATTGACTGGAAATATTTCTACTTGACTCTTACAAGAGAGCTGTGTTCTTGGTTTCCTTGGGAACTCTTGGAGGTTAAGGCTGCTGCCAGTATCTGCCACCCATCCAGTCATACCACTTACAGCTAAAGAACCTGGCACAATACAGTGGAAAGGCATAGAAGGTGGGGGATGTTAACCTGGGGTGGGTGAGATCTCAGGTGCTTTTTAGGGTTGGACTAAGACAGGGGCTTTCAAGAGAGTGAAGGGTAAGGAACTACAGAAGGGGAATTTTGGCTATATTTAGAGACATCTTTGGGCAGTGTTAGTGGGGAGAACTCAGGGACATTGCTAAACCTTCATAATGTACAGAACAGTGCTCCCTTCCCCAAAGAATCGCATGCCTCCACGAATGCCAGCCATACTAAGGCTGGGAAAACCTAGTCTATCTATATTACCCCACCAGAAAATTTGTGCTTTTGATAACTTCCTGCAAAACAAGAGGATTACCAAAAAGATCAACCGAGAGCTACTAAAATCAGTGGCTTTTCTATATCCAGATAGCAAACATTCTGGGATAGAAATCAGAAAAATAAATCCCATTTACAGCAGCATCAAACAACACCAACTAACCTATAAACGAATAACAACAAAATCATAGAGTAAAGCTAACAAAGAAGGCCAACTAGATCCATAATAAAAACTTTAAAACACTGAAGTAATAAATTGAAGAGGATGCTATCAGATGGAAAGATGTCCTATGATCTTGGACTGGTAGAATTTTAGAATTAATACTGAGAAAATGGGGGCTGGAGAGATGGCTCAGAGGTCAAGAGCACTGACCGCTCTTCCAGAGGTCTTGAGTTCAATTCCCAGCAACCACATGGTGGCTTAGCACCGTCTGTAATGGAATCTAATTCCCTCTTCTGGTGTGTGTGAAAACAGAATATTCACATAAATAAAACAAATCTTTAAAAAAAAAATACTGAGAAAATGGCTGTAACAACCAAAGTAATCTATAGGTTTGTTGTCATTCCCATAGAAATTCCAATGATGTTTGTGGTGGTTTGGCGAAGAATAGCCCCATAGATTCATATACTTGAATGCTTGGTCAGAGGGAGTGGCACTATTAGGAGGTGTGGCCTCGTTGGAGGAACTGTGTCAATGTGGAGGCAGGCTTTGAGGTCTTATATGCTTAAGCTACACCCAGTGTGGCACACAGTTTCCTTCTGCTGCCTGTAGGTCAAGATGAACTCTCAGCATCATGTTTGCCTGCATGCCACCATGCTTTTCATCATGATCATAATGGACATACATCTCAAACCGTAAGCCAGTCCCAATTAGATGTTGTTCTTTATGAGAGCTGCCAGGGTCGTGGTGTCTCCTCACAGCAATAGAACACTAAGACACCATTCTTCACAGAATTAGAAAAGACAGTAACTCTGAGTTTCATATGTAAGCAAAAGGACATCAAATAGCCAAGGTGATATTGTGGATGAAGAACTCAAGTAATACAACAGAGCCATAGTCAGAATGGTACTAACAGAAAAACAGAGTGGTAGCCAATGGGATACAATAGAGAACCTGGAATCACACCCACACAACTTTAGCCACCTGATTTTGGAGCAAAAATGGTGAACACATACATTGGAGGAAAAAAATTTCTTCAGCAAATGGTGCTGGAAAAACTGAACAGAAAAATGAAACTGGATCCATACCTCTTGCTCTGCACAAAAGTCAGCTTCAAATGAGACAAAGACCCCAGTCAAGGTCTGAATATCTGACGTTGCTAGATAGAAACACTTTAAGACATAGGTGCAAGTGAGGGCTTTCTGAAAGGGACCCCAATTGTTAAAGAAATGATTTCAAGAATTAATAAATTGAATTTCATGAAATTAAAAATCTACATAGAGAATGAAATAGTTAACAATGTGAAGGAACAGCCTACAGATGGGAGAAAACCTGTGCCAGCTATATAATAACAGAGTATTAATATCTAAACCACTTAAAGAATTCAAATGGCTAAACAATAATGCCAGATAATCCAGTCAATAAATGTGCAAACAAAATAAATAGACAGCAAGATGAATACAGGTGACTGATAGCTACATGTAACCACCTGGTACTCAGCACCTTGGTTGACAAGATGGTTCATTGGGTAAAAGTCCTTGCCACTAAGCATGACAAATGGATGGGTTTGTTGGCTTGTTTTTTGTAACAGGGTTTCTCTGTGTAGCCCTGCCTGTTCTGAAACTCTTTCTGTAGATCAGACTGGCCTCAAACTCAGAGATCTACCTACCTCTGTTTCCTCAGTGTTGGGATTAAAGGTATGTGCCATCACAGCCCGGCCTGATAACCTGAGTTTATTCCTTGGAACATACATGGTGGCAGGAGAGAACTGACTACTATGAATTGTCCTCTGATGTCCACATGTATGCTCTCAATGCACAATAATAATTTTTAAGTTTTTAATGTTAAACGTTCTTAGCCATCAGAGAAACTCAAATCAAAACCACACTGAAATTTCATTTCCCCAGTCAAAAATTTAAAACAACAACAAATTTTGGCAAGGATGTGGGATAAAGGAATCTTTACATACTACAGGCAAAGTCATGTAGTTGTTACAAAAACCCGTATGAAGGATGCTCTAAAAAGCTGAAACTTGATCAGCTGTGCCACTCCTTGTGTATGCCAAAGGGATCCAGGTCAGCACAGTGCAAGAATCTGCTCATCCAGGAATATTGCATCACTATTCACAGCAGAGGACTTAAGGGATCAGCCTCAGCATTCATCAGTATTCATCACTAACACTAGCTGGGCAGCGGTGGCACACGCTGCACACTCTAATTCCAGCGCTCCGGAGGCAGAGGCAGGCGAATCTGAATTTGAGGCCAGCCTGGTCCGTGTCAGCGAGGGGTACACAGAGAAACTCTGCCATGAAAACAAACAAACAAATGACAAACAGAAAAACCCAAACCAAAACAACAAGACCAATAGATAAAAGAAATGTGATTGGTTCATATTCTCTGTCTCTCTGCCTCTCTGTGTGTCTCTGTCTCTGTCTGTCTGTCTGTTCTCTCTCTCTGGAGTCCTATTCAGTCATAAAGACACAGTTGTCATTTGCAGGAAAACACAGAATTAGCTGTCATTATATTAAACAAAGTCAGTCAGACCCTGAAGACAAAATATTACATCTTTTCTGTCGTGTTGCAAACACACACACAGTACATAAAAACAGAAGGGGAAGTATTTGGGAAGGAAAGTGGGGAGAGGGACAGAGAAGGGTAATGGGGAATGAATATGGTTAAATTTCACAATGTAATTAAAGAAAAAATGTCCTTATGAAAGCCATCACTTTGTGCAACAAATATACACCAGCAAAAAAGATTTTTTTTTTTTGAAAAAAAAAAAAAAAAAAAAAAAAAAAGCCCTGTTTTTAAATTGGAGATGTGTGAGCTCTTCTCACGGCAGTTTTGGTGGGTGGAAAACCCTTCTTCCTTCCGTGGTTTCTGTCAGCTCATCTCAGGGTTGAAGTTCTGGGCACTGGCATGAACGGGGCAATTAAGGGCAAGAATAGCTTCGTGTAAGGGGGAGTTTCAGGCCTGTTGCCCAGGCTTGTCCTGGTCAACCTTTTAGAAGCAGGAATTCTTTCTCAAGGAGGCATAAAGGTGTCCCTGGGGCCTCTCTCCTCATGATCACAGTCAGTTATCACATAGACTAGATGTCGTAGGGGTGACAAGAGATAAAGAAACCTGAATCACCTAACCGGCAGGCCAGAAAATAGTTAGGACTCAATAAATGTTCACTCTGACTGCGCTGATCTCATCCCCGTCCTCCTGGAGTCTTCCCGGCACCTCCCGCTTCTGTTGCTTCCTGAGCCAGTGTCAGCCTCAAGCTGGCTGTTGCTACAGTTTATAGATGTTGAGTAGGGAAGAGTCCACAGGCCCAGTTTCCAGAAGCTATCTCCACATGATGTCAAAGCCCTGGATCTGTAACGTCATTACAGCCAAGCGCTCCAGGTGCCTGATGCCCTACTAAGTTCCAAGCGTTTCTCCAAGGGTCATGCTCTTCCAACACCCCTGCTCCTTCTGAATCCAGCTCCACAGTAAGCTACACCTCCCACTCCAACTTCTCCCTCTCCAGGCAAGTGCCTGACAACCTCCATTGCTGCTTCAGGGTCGTGATGTGTCTGTGTGGTGACTTGACTTGGTTCATAGTGCCAATGATAATTTCCTGTTGCAGGGCATGGTTCAAGCTCATACATCCGCCAAAGTCTAGGAAGGAGCAACTGGCCCTGGTGTTCTCAGACAGCAGCCTCTTGTCAGGCTGGGTGTCTTTGAGAGCTGGGCCAGTGGGTAACCCAATATCACTCTCCTTTGCACAGGAAACTTCTAAAGACTTTGGGGAAACCTGAAAGTAGGGTCCCCCTGGAGTATCGGGGCCTGGGAGAAAGCACTGCATTTCAACTCTGTCTTCCTTACCTTTGGGTAATATACATATCCTGTCATTTTCCAAGCAGCTTCCTCCGTTCTCCTACCTCTGGGGTGTTGGCTCAACTGTTCTCTCATAGTTGTTCCTTCAGATACAGACTTGAAGGCTCTCACTGTGGTATTCTGCACATTGTAGAATATGTGCACATATACAAACATGCATACATAAGCATGCACATGTGTCTTTTTTGTTTTTTTGAATCTCTTGTCCCACCTGGCCATGTTGGGTACACAGAGGTAAGACCTCAAGGTCATTCTCTCTCTCTCCCTCTGTCTGTCTTTCTCACCCAACATCAGGGCCTAACTTGGTATCAAGTCTTCAATAAATGTCTGTTGAATGAGTCTAAGCACTCAATAAATACCTGTGCTCTTATCCCCAGAGTGAAATCCCATTTGGCTGTTTATTTTTTAGTTATTCTTTAACATACTCAGCTGCCATCGCATACAAACGCTTTGAGAGAAGGGGCAAGACAGAGAGTCGTTTTGCCTGAGTATCATAGAACTGGGGCCTGGCTGACTCAGGGGTGGGGTGGGAGAGGAAGGACAAGGACACGCGGTAAAGCATATACCTGAGGAGGGTGTGGGGGCCACTCTGCCTTCAGAGTGTGGGGCCCAGGGTCTGAGCAACAGGGTGATACCAGACAAGCCCTTCAGTAGATTCCTGAGGGAGAAGTGTACATGGGGGTGGGGATGAGGGGTGGCTGGGAAAAGAAAACTACATTTCATTGAAAATGTGGTTCTGCTTGTTCTCCTTCCTGGGAAGATTAGAGGCTGGGAGTTGGGGGCGGAGGGTAGCTGAGGGTGAGGCTGCCTGAAGAGGGATATACCGATGATGGAGACCACAGAGCTGGCTGGGGACAGGGGGGCTATGTCTGCAGCTGGTGCGCCCCCATTAATCCTCCTCTGCAGAGAATGCAGCCCTACAGGTTTACTGTGAGCAGAGAGCGCTGTCTGGGTCAGCACAGGCATACTTTCCCAGGTAACTGGGAACCCCACAGGCAGAAGGAGCAGTCCGGCCCACTCTGCATGACTGAGCTCCTCCTGGTGACTTCAGAATTCACCATGACCAACAACCTCCTCCTGCCATCTCCACTAGAGTTCAGTGCCTGGCCGGAAATTCCTCCAGAGACCGTGTCATTTACTTGGGTATGGTCCCTGGACTCCTATCAGTTTCTGTCTCTACTACCTTCTGGGCAGCTTGCAGAAGAAAGAACCACCCTTGCAAGCTCATTCACCCTCAAGTCCTATTTTTTTTTTTTTTTTTTTTGGCTCAGAATGTAGTGATTTGGGTTCTCCTAGACACGTTGCAGTAACCACAGAGAACTTCTGCTTGGAATGAATTCCCTTCCACTCCCTGCACCCAGACTCAATTTCATAGTCAGATGCTTCAGTGCAAAGCCGGCTTCGTGGCAGGCCCTTCTGAACGGTGGGAGGAAAGTCACCCTGAGAACAGGACAGTAGCTGCCAAGCTCATGTACTTAGTTAGCCTTGGTGAAAACATCTTCATGGTTGGCAGGTTTTCCTATTGATTTCTCACTATTAAAAAGGAAATAGTGAACCAGGCTCGGTGGCTCATGCTTGTAATCCCAGCACTTCAGCGACTGGGGCAGGAAGATTGCCACAAGTTCCAGACAAGCCCGAGCTACGTGAGTTCAAGGCTGGCTAAGCTAAGTAAGAACCTGTCTCACAGACAGACCAACATATAAATACTTAAATAAATAAACAAAGTGCCGGTTGTGTTTCTGCCTTCTAGTGCCCTTCAAACTCAAGCTAACGGAAGTGCTTCTCCAGAAGAGCAAAGACTATAGCGATTGTAATCTGGGATGTAGAAATGATGGCCAGCAATGTGTGCTCTGCTGTCTTGGAAGTGACTTGAATGTAACTAAGCAATCCTAACCCAGCGATCTGAATGTACTCCTGTCCTCATAGGTGTTGAAGGAGAAGCCCACTGACGATGAGCCAGCCGCGCAACCCTCATGCAAGGCTTGTTGTCGCCTTTGGTTATTGTTTGCCTCTTGTTTGCCCTCTGAGGCTGAGAGAAGTTTCTACCTCTCCCCTTGGCTGTTCCTCATTTTAAGTAACTCTCCTGCCTATGCGGCTGCCTCTATCTACCTCCTGAGAGCTGGCATGGGTCACCACCACCCAGCCTTATTTATTTACTTATTTTTTAAATTTATGTTGGTATTTTGCCTCATGTTTGTCTGTGAAGGCATCAGATCCCCTGGAACTGGAGTTACAGAGAGTTGTGGGCTGTGGTGCTGGGAACTGAACCAGGGTCCTCTAGAGGAGCAGCCATTGCTCTTAGCCACTGAACTGTCTCTCTAGCCCCGGGGTGTCCGCTCTTGCTGTCTTTCTGTACAACCTGTGTCTGTGGCAGCTCGCAGCCTGGTTCCTCATTTCCTTCACCTCTCCCTCACCGGACACTGTCTCTTTCTCTCCATTTGACTGCATCCACCCCTGTGGAACTCATCATGGCTGACTCCCTTTGATAGTCTAAATTCAAACATTCTGACCACAGCCAGTCTTTGTATCTTGCTCTTTTCCCATAAGTTAAACAGGATCCTAGAAGCCACCAAGACTGCTGTCCCACAGCTTTCAATTTCCCCCAGCTAACTATAGTTTCTGGCTTCTCATGCAAGCTCAATGCAGCACAGACAAAATGTATACAGTACAATCTCTGCCTTTAGTGGCCAGGGCCTCCTTGATCCTCGGTGGTGCCTCCTTATGAGCCCTCCATGATATATCCTGTTCTGAAGAGACCCACCCACATCATTCTGGATGCTAATTATTGCAGGAAATGTACATTTAAAAAGTCCTTGTGTATGTATGCATGTGAGTGTGTGTATGTGTGTGTGTGTGTGTGTGTGTGTGCAGGTGAACATGCCACAGCATGAATGTAGGGGTCAAAGGACAACCTTGTTTTCTTCACTGCTGTGTAAGACAGAGTAGCTAGACCACAAGCTTCTGAGGATTCTCCTGTTTTCTACTTCCCATCTCACCATAGGAGTGCTGGGATTACAGGCATGCTCCTCTGATCTCTTCTCCTGGGAATCCTTCCCTCCTTACTAGATATATATTCAGTGTCTGGTGTGTCAGGCTGACTCTAGAGGCAAGTACAAGACAGGAAGACTGACACCCTGTTTACCTGCAAATCTCTCGGGGTGAGTCCGAAGGGTGTCCATGAGCTGGGACAAGGTGCGGAGCTCTGTCCAAACCTGGCCAAGGTGCTGGATCTCTGGTGAGTCCATGAAGAGCTCTTGAAAGTCTCGATATACTCTTGCTAAGCTGTAAAATGGAGAAAGGTTTATACATATAAATAAATATAAATAAATAAATAGCTATAGTTTTCATAATGATACAATAACAGTCTCATACTGTTTTTAAATTGTTGCTTGACTTAGCATGGCCTCCATTTGATGAAGATTTATAATTCTAACACTGACAAAGATGATGAATGATTTGTTCAGTTTTCGAGTTAGAGCCAGGTAAGATCACCTTAAACCCTATTTTCTCTGAGTCTGTTGTTCTGAGGGTTTTGGTAGGTAACACCGGGGAGCCTTCCCAGCGTTTACTCAGTTCTCTGACTTCCTCTCCACCACCCACCCTCAGGGATGGGACCTGGCACCATGCTTTAACCCCAAGGTCTGCCCTGGGCATACCTATCACGGTTGACTGGACAGGGAGAATGAAGATGGGCAACAGGATGTTCAACTTTGTGGGTTAAAAAAAAAAACCACTCCATGTGAGCCGTACCCCAAGATTCTGTCTCTCAGGTCACTAAATGATGGTTTCAGCAGAGGATTTGGAACTCATCATTTTCTTCCAAGAAGTAAACTTCACATTGTAAACCTGACTTTCTGTTTTGTTGTTGTTGTTGTTTTTGCAATGTTCCTTCCCCCCCGTTCCCCCATTAGGCCTTAGATGTCTAAAGATACCTTTGGAGGGGACAGAGGTGGCTACCGGTAGCCTGGGGTAGAAGGTGAAGAAAGTCAGTTTTTCTCACATAGTACTTCCAACTCAGCATATGGATGACCACAGAGTACTGGACCCATCACAGCCAGGGCTGCTAGTAGATTCTAGGTCACCATGATGATGTCCGTGTGGCTTAAGTTTGAAGGTTTCCCCCCAGATGGCCTGCCATTAATAGATCCATTATTCCAGGCCGGAAGTGCCCCACACTCTTTTAGAGCTCCTCGTTGGGCAGGTAGGTCCACACCCTCCCATGGGAGGAGAGTGGAACAGGGTGCAAGTTCCTCCCTGCAGGTGGGAATCGAGGCACTTACATGGAGTTGTTATAGTTTGACACAATTCCAGGAGCTTCTCCTGGGGTGGGGTTCTGAAAACAAGGGTTGTTCATATTGCAGAAAATCCCCTGGAGCCATGGTAACATTCCCGCTGAAGGCATCGCCTTGTTGGGAAAATGGCCTTAAGACAGGAAATGAAGACAAGAAGGAATTAGTCACAGAGGCCAAACAGGCCGAGGGCACAGACTGTCAGACGCTTCGCCTCTCCCTTTGTTTATGAAGCAGGAGCATCTAATATAGTTTAGGCCCTGTGTTATGTACTGGAGTTCCGTGGTAGGTAAGGGTGGCCTAACACCATCGGAAAACCACATTACAATTCATAACAGTAGCGAAATTATTGTTATAAAGTAGCAATGCAAATAAATTTTTAGGGGCCACCACCACGTGAGGAAGCATATTAAAGGGTCACAGCATTAGGAAGGTTGAGAACCACTCTCCTAGATGGTCATGTGGAGGGGAACAGAGGCTAGGAAGGTTTCTGGAGGAAGGCAGAGAAGGAAGGGTTCGGGGAGTTTCAAAGGCTGCTGGCGATTACAGAAAAAAGGTCTGTGAGTTCTCCCCACAACAGGCGTAGAGGCTGTGCACAGAAAGAAGCAAGGGTTTTCTGGACAGAAGGTTGGCAGACAAACGGAAGTTGGAAACTCAAGAGCAGGGAACTCAGCAGCTCTGTAACTCTTGAGGCTTCCATGTCAGGTGCCTAGAAGGAGAAGACAACATCCTGGCCAGAACCCACAGGGAACCTTCCAAAAGGGCTGCTGTACAAAACAGGCTTGCCTGAGGCTTGCCGATGCCTCGAAGCTCCAGAGTATAAAATTTACTAAGTGTGATTCTGTGCTGTTTCTTTTCATTCCACCTGCCACCACTGGCACCATGTAAAACAAATCCCCTAAATCAGTCACCATGAAAAACAGAACTAGAATTTTAACGTAGGTAAATTTTGACAAACAACAACAACAAATCAAAAAATTATACACACAAGGCTGCACTTGATTCCCAGAAGCGCCAAATGAAAGAAATGATTAAACAAATAGTACACCTCTCCAGCACCTCACTACAAGCAAATATTTACTTGGACTGCACACATTTCAAGACACTAGACTTTGTGCGGCGCTGGTGAACCTGGTTTATACTCCACAGCCTCTGAAATGGCAACACATGTGATAGCTCCATCCTAAGAGGGGCATCCTAAAGGGAAGGATGGCCAGGTTTCCCGGGGTCATACTCACATTCATGTTGACTGTAGAGTGGGTTGGCATTCCTCAGCCAGATTAACACCAAAAACAAAGATAAAGGCCACACGAGTTCCACTACAAAGCGAATCTGGAAAAAGGAGAATAGAAAGAGAAAGACCAAGGGTGCTAAGAGATTCAAAGAGATATACAATCAGAGAAGACAGGCCTTCTTCTGTGTACTGAGTATCAAAACTGGGCTGTTGCACAATCATATCCCATGTAACAGTTTAGGCAACAATGGATCATATATCCCAAGGTGGCCCCATAAGTCATGATGGAGCTGAAAAAAAATCCCGTTATTGCCTTAACATTGTAGTGTCTTTGGTGATGTCACATCCCACAAAATTACAGCGCATACAATTATGTATAGCAACGATACTCAGTAATGACAGCAAGACTGTTACAGGCTTATGGATTTACTGTGTTTCCATCATTAAGAGAAAGTGTCTATTCATAAAAAAAAACAAAAACAAAAACAACAACAACAAAAAAAACTAAGAGAAATTAGAAGGTTTAAGCAGAGTGTGATGGAACATGTCTATAATGACAGCACTTAGGAGGCAGGAGTTCAAGGCCAGCCCAGCCAAGTTAGCAACTTTGAGACCACCCTGTCTCACTATAAGACGTTTATTGTTAAATCAGCAACAGCCCTCCCGCATCTTGTATTCATTGTCTTTTGTTTGCATCATTTTGTGTTGTCTTGCTTTAATCTTGTGTTTATTATGGCTCTAGGAGCAACAGACTACACTATATGTAAATATACACAGAGCCCATAGAGCCATGTGGCCTGGGTGTGTAGGAGGTGCTGCTGGGTAGGTTTGTGTGTGAGCACGCTTTACAATGTGCAAACGGTGGTGAAATTACCTACCATGGCTATTTCCAGAATACGCCCCGTTGTTAAGAGCAGCCTGACTACTTACCTGAAGAACTGACTTCCTTCTTTCGTCTTCACTCCTACACCACCTCCTGCCTGGTTCCTTACATCAAGCAGATTCTGTGTCCATCTGCATGCTACCTGTGTCTATTCCTGAAAATAGCATCGACACAGGACTCCCATGAAGGATCTCCGGCGTCAGGGCGTGGCAGATGCAGGTGCTGGGGGGGGGGTGTTTGTTTTTGTTGTTGCTACTGTTGTTGTTTTATTTCTTAGATTGGTTTTATGCTTTCCAGACTCTTGAGACAGGGTTTCTCTGTGTGGCCTTGGCTGTCCTGAGACTCACTCTGTAGACCAGGCTGGCCTCGAACTCGCAGAGCTCCACCTGCCTCTGACTCCTGAGTGCTGGGGTTAAAGGGGTGTGCCACCATAGCCTGACTCAGGATTCAGACTGATAAATTCTGTGTAATGCTGGTGTCTCTAACAGTAATCATCTCCTAATCTCCCATTCTGTGGATGAGTGTAGAGACCTGCAGAGGGCAGGTGACTTGGACAGGGTCAAAACAGGAAACAAAATCCAGCCCCCTGCCCCCAGGGCCAGCACTTTTCCTACCCTTGCCCATTGCTTTGCCTTCTAGCGCATGGTAGACCTTGCCTGAAGGTGGCTATTGAATTAATGAATGAACTGGAGAGCAAATGACTCTGAAATACCATGCCCTGAAACCGTGTCAACAGAAAGCCAGCTGGCCAACGTTTGTTTTCCTTCAACAAGGTCTGCTGTTTCAAAAGGGAAGCAGATACACCGCCATGCTTCCTCCTCATATCCAGCAACCCAAAGAAGCAGCTGGTCAACCAATCACAGACCGTTGGCAGTCAGACACAGGCTTGCTTTATGGTCAGAGTTCGCCTGACTCTAAATGAGGCACCCGATTGGTGCTGCTACCATCCCGGCATTGCGCATAGTGGGAGGGCGGAAATGTGGAGTTGAGGAGAAGAGGGAAAGAAGAATGTGAATTAGAGAATTAGACCCAAGTGTTTGACAAACCATGTGCTGCTTGAAGCAAAACCCACAAGACCGGGAAGTTTGCTGGCAACCAAGGGCTAACATATCTGAAAGTGGGTGGTAGAAAATAGATCACACGCCGAAGGGAAGCCAAACTGTTTGTAGGTGCATGGTAACATAAGAAATAAATAAATAAATAAATAAATGAAGACTTTACTCAACACCTAAATAGGGAGGCTATGTTAGAGGAAGCACACATACAAACAATGTGAGAAGACAAAACAGTAGGTTTCCCTTAAGGTGCCTGGGTTCCAGAGCTTTCCTATGCCTTTCCCGACAAGATTGCAAAACACCAATATTGGGCAATTCCCACCTGCTGTTTAAGGAGACTGCCCCGGGGAAGATTGGCTGGCAATTAGAATTGCTGGCAATTGCCCTCAGGACATGCACATGGCCTGATTCCCTGCCTGCTCCAGATCCGTGGCACTATCTCCCAACACTCACAGGCACACCTGTCCTCCACTGAGACTCCAGCTGCCCCCACAAGGTAGGATCCCCTGGCAGTTCCCATCAGATTGTCTCTGGAACGCAGAAGTCTTAGTCAAGTCGGGCCTAGGATGCTTCTCTGGGAAGCTGGAGTTGACCCAGGGGTTCAGGCCGTCGACAGCCTGAAGATTTAAGACACTGCACCCCACAAAGGCATGTGTGCCAGCTTCTCCCTCACCTTCCATTCCAGACCATCCTGTAGGGAGGGTGGGGGAACAGGTTTGGCCGGATAGCAGTGTGACAGGTGCAGGCGAAGAAACTGGAGGTTGCTCTCGGTGTCTTCACCAAGGAAATGAGACAACCAGTCCAGAGGCTTTGCACTCAACTCCTTCTGAGACAATGGCTTGAAATGTTGGCTCTCCTACTGAAGAGGTTGCTGCCTTCTCCCGGCGTGCCTGCCTGTGAGTTGTATGGGACGCTAAGTGCCACCCGTGCTGATCTGGGAATGTGAAGATCTGTGACTCAACCACTCTCAGGCTTGCTTACTTTCCGAGTCTCAGTTTTCTCCTCTATAAAATGGGGGTGTTGTTTTGTCCAATAGTGTGTAACGAGAACCGATAACAGAACGCTCTGGGGCTAAGAACTGGGGTTCGTGCCGCTGTGAAGTTCTGTTAACCTCTCCGTGCCACATCTGTCAAAAAGGAGTGATCCTGGGTCTTGTCTCCCGGAACTGTTGTGATAATGAAATATGCTTAACATGCCCAACACAGAAGGCAGAGCCTGGCCCACAGACTATTTATTATTGTGTCACAGAGTCATGACAACGGCCACAGAAGCACAGTGGGTGATTGCAGGTTACAGACAGAAGATGGAAGACATGAGATCTCACTGCGGCCTCGCAGCCCCGCCCCCATCTCAGTGGAGTGGTAAGAAGCACTGGGGAAGCTGGTGTTTTCCCTCTGCCTGGGATCTGGAGGGGCCGAACTCACTGGCTCCCCTGCACAAACACCACCTGTCATTCTTTGTCCACCTAGCAGAGGCAGGTGGGTCCTCCCAGCAGCCTCTTCCCCTCCCCCAGAACCAGTACCGTCAGCCCAGAAGGGCATTGCCGGTGCTACTCAAGTGTATGCAGGCATACCCTAGGGAGAAATTCCACATTATAATAAAAAACATGTCTCCGGAGTCCCCCTCCCCGCTTTAAACATGTCTGTAACTTTAATTAAGCCCAGTCCAAGCTCAGAAGCCCCCTCCCCCCATGGAATTTTTAAAAACTAAACTGGTATTTCCTTCCCTACCCTCCTGCCCCCCTCTCTACCATTCGGCCTATGCAGGGGAGGAAAGGTTCCTGGCCAGGGCAGAGTTGTGCTTGCTTTAAAACAGCCAGTGAGGTTTCCTCCCGTCCTCTATGTTTTCAATTTAAAAGAGAGGTAGTCAGAGCTGGAGAGCAACAGTTATGATCCTCCCTCCTGGGCTGAGAATCCAGCCGGGACTCAAGCCTGGCCCAACGCCACCCAGAGCCTGGCACACTAGGAGCTGGTGCCCAGCCTCACCATGTTCTCTTCCCCTGATGCTGTGCCCAGCACTGTAGGCCATAGTGATACCAGGCCTGCAACTCTAGAGTTTAGGAAGTGGACCCATGTTTTTGTTTTGTTTTGTTTTTTGGATAATGTTTTACTGTGTAGTCCTAGTTGTCGTAGATATCATTCTGTAAACCAGGCTGACCTCGAACTCACAGAGATCCATCTGCCTCTGCCCACCCCACCCCCCAAGTGCTGGGATTGAAGGTGTGCACCATCACCACCTGCCTGTGAACCCCTACTTTTATGAGGCCTGAGGCCTTCATCAAACATCTTGATCTCCTCTGGAAGTGGGGACGTTAAGACTATAAGGGATTCTGGGATATGTAAGCTCAGAGGCAAGAAAAATTGGCACTAATATGCTTTGCAAGCCCTCTCAACCGCATGGGCAGATGATGATCTTGGACAGGGTCTTTGGGAGGCAGGGGTATGTGGGTTAAGCTCCCCGGGAAATCTCCTCTGAGCTCCTGGTCCCCTCCCCCACCTCACGCTTCCTCCCCTCTACTCCTGACTGCTCCTTCTAAATGCCTCCAAATTCCATCAAGGCAAGGGCTCTGCTCAGTTCTTCATGCAGGTCAGACATACCTGCAGGGTACAGGTATGTAGCCCAGGCTACAGACCCGATATTAGTTTATATTTATTGTCCTGGTAGGTGATAAATTAGCCAGTCACCCTCTCTTTGTGGTATCTGTGATCGTCTGTTAGTCAGGGCAGTTTAGCTTGAGGACTACATCTGCTATTCTGAAGACACACATGGTTTAAACGCGGGTCCATCTCATTGTAATCCTTATAAAGCCTCAGTTACCAAGTTGGTACCCACAGGGATAACCAAAGCCTGCATCATTGGTACCATCAGGGATAACCAATCCTCTCCATCCTTAATACCAAACAAGTGCTAATAGAAGATGGGAAGTGAAGGAAGGGGAACAGGCACCTGAAGACTCCCATCCTGCATCCCGAGGGGATGAGAGAAGAGGATGAAGAACCTTGGCATTCTTCGTCTTCTCATTTGCTATCTGCTCTTAATAGTAAGCACCTAAAATATAAGTGTCTGAGGAATGGCTGAGTTATGGGTCAGCCATGTTGCACTTTCTATCGTCACCACTTCCTAGAGGCAGATCTTTCCAGAACATCCAGATGCCTTGAAAGAAGCTATGGACCTCCCTCACAGAGCTATTGGGGGCTTAAAAAAAATGCTTCCATCCTGCCCAGACAGCCTGGAAACATTGGCTATCTAGAGTCCTAGAAAAGATCTCAGTTTCCAGGCCAGGATATCAAATACAGGCACCTCCCCCCACCCCCCAGCTTAAATGAGACAGGGCTCACAGCATGAATGGCTCCATCCCCTGTGGAACACACAGTGGATGAGGAAGTCCCCATCCCCCCAACAGGACTACGCTTGCCAATGCCAGGGAAAGGCTCAGCTTCCTGAGGCAGTCCGGCCTCTGGAAACCGTGTTGGCTTGCCACAGCGATGGGAGCATGGCTGGTCAGCAGTCTTGGTGCTAGCGGAGGGGTGGAGAGGATGTACAGGAGGTTGTGGGCAGTGGCATACTGGATCTCCTTGGCAATCTATAGAGTATTTGCACCCTGGGAGCAGAGACTGAATTGTCTCATTTATCACTGTGAACTTAGCACCTGGCACAGGGCCTGGTGACTGTTATTTCATGACTGAACGAGTGAGTAAACACAATGAAGTTAACAATGAAGCTTGCTCAGGTTTTGACAACATTTTCATTCAGGAAGGGAAATTTTTGGAAGGGGTTGAGCCTTTGGTTACTGTTAGCACTTGATCCCTGGGGGTCTCAAATGACCTCAAGGCTAATTTGAAATGGCACCAGCCTTGACAAGAAGAAGCAGCCATAGGACAATGGTGTCCCCATGGGTAAGCTTGGTCTCTTCTCTCCAACCTCCCTGTGTACTGTCTGAGCCAAACCGAGGCCTTTGAACCATCTGTGTGGTGTCCTTGGCTTTTCCCATATGTTAGCTAAAAAGCTATCGTCTCTCAACCCATCATTCACCAGCCAGGGCTCTTTCTCGTGGGTCTGGACATGATACCAGCCTCAGAGACCACTATTTCAGCTCTACAGATCTCTGGTTCTTGTTTCCATCTTAGTGACAATTCCTCTCCCTTCCGTAGGCTTTCTCACCTGGAGCGAGGCACCTTCTACCTGCTCACCGCCTTACAGTTTTCCTTTCCTCTCTCAGCTCCCAGTTTTGTACTTAGCTCACGCGTGTCTATGCTCATCTCTCTCTGACCAAATCTGCCTAAGGCATGCACAGGTCTTCACACGCCCCAACACCTGGTTCCTCACCCCCTTTCTTCCCTAACCTTCCTGCTCCCCCTACAGGAACCCAACCCAAGCCATCCCCTTCCCCACAGCCAGTCTCCTTCCCCATCCTCTTCATGAGGTTCAGCTCTCTTTCCTTCTTGTGTATGTTGTGTTGAATACATGTTTGTATGTGTGCACCTGTGTGTTAGGATGTGTGTGTGTGTGTGTGTGTGTGTGTGTAGGCCAGAGTTCCACAAGGGGTATCTTCTTCAATCCTGGGCCCTATCATTTAATCTCAGTAATCCCCACCTCTCATAGCAAACCCCATCTCAACCCCCACCCCTACCCCGTCAGGTCCTTAAGCCATTCCATGCTTTTAGGACTCTACAGGGCTCTGGGTACCTGACCTTCTTCCTCTCTCTCTCTCTCTCTCTCTCTCTCTCTCTCTCTCTCTCTCTCAAACGAGATCTCCTATATCCCGAACTGGCTTTGAAATTCCTCACTATACTACTATATAACCAAGGATGACTCTGAATTTCTGATCCTCTTGCCAGGTATACACCACCACACTCAGCTTACTCGGTACTGCGGATCAAATCCGGGGCTTAGTACTAGGCAGGCACTCTGCTAACTGAGGTACGGCTTCAGCCCCGTTTCTTTATGGATATGTATTTGTTCCTTATCTCTTCACAGAAAACAAACAAACAAACAAAAAAACTAGAGAAAAGCCATTTGTAGACTCTGGATGGGCTCTGATCTCCTGCAGCTCTCACCCGGGACTCCTCTTGGGACGTTCTGTATTACTTTATATTACTCTGGGGTCTCAGAACATACTTCAGGTTTCCCCAGCCATCCTAGAAACCAGTTCGGAGGAAATGCACGCTTTATACCTTCAACCTTTAGTCTCACCCAGAGGTTTCTGGTCACTATAGAGTTTTGGGGAAATCTGTACACTCAGCTGAACCTTTAACACAGTTGGAAGATGCAAGGTCACTTTTCCTCACCATAGGGACAGAAACAATGTGTTCAGCGAAACTGTGGCTACTCTGGCAATCGCAGGCCAGTTCTAGGAATGTTGTTCATGTCTGAAGCCATCCTGCGCGCTAGAATCAAGGAAATTGACCTTATTGAGCTCCAAAGCTAATCAAAGACACCTCACTTTCCTATGAGGTTTCTCTGAGGGATCTGGATGTTTCCACTGTGTGGTAAGAGCTGGATCAAAAGCTCTCTCATGCCAAAGCTGGAGGAGTGGGGAGTGGCGGTGGATTCCTACGCTGGGCAGGAGACAGAGTATTTTTCATATAGTCAAGGACAAGGGAAGGGTGTTATCCTATGGGACGGCGCTAGGTCACAGAGGTTCACTGAGCAGCTAAAGGTGCCCTCAGAGCTAAAGGGCAAACTAGCTTTGGGCCCTCCTCCCTCCTCCCACCCCACCTCCACCCACCTCCACCCACCTTGTTACCTTTTGTCTTTTCCTCAGAGTCCAGTTCTTCCAAAGCAAAAGCTGGATCTGTCTGAGGAAGCCCATGCTGGACGACCGCAGCACCGGGTGGCCACCCTGGGCCGGGGGCTCAGGCCGACACAAAGGCCACTGGGACGGCCTCCAGCTCAGGCTGCTGTGTCCTTCTGGTGATTAAAGGCTGCTTTTCCCCTTCAAGCATAATCCCTTCTAATTACCTGTAAGCCCTTTGTCAGGGAAAGGAGGCAGGCCCGGGCTCCTTTTTAGAGGGAGAAAAGCCCTAAATACACAGTGCTGAAGGTACAAGAGATGGAACATTCAATGGCAAACCAAGCCCCTCAGGTACCCTCCTCCATCAGACAGCAGAGGGGCTTCTGCCATTTTCGAGGAAGATGCTCTGGATATCTCTGAACCATTCCCTTGACATACCTAGAGGCCGGACGTTTGCCTCCCAGTGATCTAACATGGGCCAGCATCCGAATTTGACTGGCTCCCTTAATAAGTGAGAGCTAAAATGACCTCTTCTTTTTCAGCCTTTTGTTTTGCGCTATGACAACTTCAAGTCTGATCAACCAGTCCTGGCTGCCTGGACTAATCCAGACTCACCAGGACAGTAGCGATGCCTGCCACAGGTACTTGTGACCATTTCAGCTCAGCAGGGGGTGTTGCTAGATCCATCGAGCACTGGGGGAGGCAGCTGGGATCCCAAAGACCCCTCATCATATCTCCTTAGTACTTCCCCATTGAAGTTTTGCCTCTGCCTTCTCAGATCTCAAGAATATTTTCTCTTTAAAGAGTTGTACACATTAAGACCTCAATAGGGTGGAAGGAAAACCATGGAGTAGGATGGTTGCTGACTTGGTGGAATTCACTGTCTGTAAACCTGGGCCATGAACTTAGATAACCTAAATGAATGTATGCTGGCAGCCACAGCGGCTGACTGGCTGTACTTGGCAAAGCTTCCAATGACAGAGTGAGTTTCTGCTTTGGGTGTTCAAAAGGTTCCTTGGAGGTAGTGGCATTTAATAGAGGCTTTGATCAACGAAACTAGCATTTTACATGTAGTAAAAAACATATAGTAGTACATTTAGGATTTGGTATAACTGTAAGCTGCCTTTGTGCGTCCTGTCTTTATCATTACAGTCTTGTGAGGTAGCTGTCTGCTATGTTTTACAGGGAAGCAATCTGAAACCTCATGAGATTCAGTACTTTGCTGATTGTCACATATGATGATGCTGGATTATTGAACTAAGTATATCACTAAAATTACATGGTGAGACGAGGAGGCAGAAATAGCTCAAGAAAACCACGAGGAAGAAGGATGGCTCCAGTAGGGTGTGGGTGGGAGCCACTGGGAGAAGAGGCTATACAAGGGAGACAGAGACCAGACTCAGAGAGTCCTGATGATGACTGACTCAAGGGAGATCAAACGAGCAACTACGAAGTGATCTCTGAGTGGGTCACAAGTGCAGGGCACCCGCTGATCAGAAGCAAGCTCTGGACGGAATCATTATGAGTTTCTTACATGTGAGGGTGTGGTTTTTATCACTCAGGAAGAGATAAAATATTCTAACCCAGTGCCTACCAAAGACAGCTACATGGGACAGGCTGATCGAGAGAAAGCAGGGAGCGACAACAGTCATGTAAGAGAAGGGGAGGGTTTGGAGTGACTGGAAGCAAAGAGACACAGCAGAGGGCTGAATGATTGGAACTGAATGATGAAGAGTCAACCAGAAAGATTGGGGTTGGAACCTGACAGGCTGGATAATGAGGAGGTGGTAGGCCCCTCTGAGAGAGGAATGGGAGGGGCGATCTGAGGGGTGGGAGGAGATTTGCATCTGACGGTGAGATTTTTTAAAGTTGGTGTTTTGAGAGAATTCTAGACTGGCCTGGAACTAGATATATAGCTGAGGATGACTTTGAACTCCTCATCCTCCTGCCTCTACCTCTCAGGCACTGAGATGTCAGGCCGGAGCTACCCCATCCAGACACATTGTGGTAAACCCGAAGTCCCAATGGTGTGAGATGTTCAGCAGGCAGCAATACCTGGGTCTGAAATCATGAACCGACTTCTAGGATAAAGATTTGTGACTCAGCAGCACATGGACGAGTGACTGAGTCCTAGGCATGATTGATCAGGTTGCCAATGGTGAGGTGAGCTTATAGTCAGAGACAGCAGGTAAAGGACTAACTAGGTCTTCTTCCAAATTACCCAAAGATGGGGAAAAGTTAGAGCCATCAGATTATCCCCCATGTAAATTGTCACCTATTCTAATTTAAGTAATTCGCTCTTAACTGAACTTTTAATTTAGATGGGGGGTGGTGTGTTTAACTAATGGGGAGCACATCAGTCAGTAACAATGAGGTAGCATTGTTCTCTGACTGGGGCTCTTCTTGCCCAAACAAATGTTGGCTGAAGTTGACTGTTTCTCTCTTTTTGTGTGTGTGTGTTTCTCTCTCTCTCTTTTTTTTTTCATTGTGAAATATACACAACATAAAATCACCATTTTAGTCAGTTTAAAGAACGTAGATCAGGACTGTTAAGAACTGTCCCTGGCAGGCACTGGTGGCAAACACCTTTAGTCCCAGCGCTCTGGGAAGCAGAGGCAGGAGCATCTCTGTAGCCTCGTCTACAGAGCAAGTTCCAGGACAGCCAGGGCCACACAGAAAAACCCTGTCTTGAAAAAAAAAACAACCAACCAACCATGCAACCAACCAAACAAACAAAAAGAATAAGTCCCCGTTCAGCCATCACTACCATCTTCTCCAAAAACTGTTTTTTTTTGTTTTTTGTTTTTTTTTTACTTTGTGATATTAAAACCCTGTGGCCATTAAATAACTCCTTGCTCTCCTCTTCCTCCAGACCATAGAGGCCACCATTTCCATTTCTGACAATTCAATGGAGTCATATGACTTTTGTCATCTTTATGTCTGACTGACTGTGTTAAAGACTATCTATGGTGTAACATGTCTTAACCACTTCAGGCTTCGCTGACAAAATGCCATAAATATCAGACGAACAAGAGTTTTTTTTTTTTTTTTCCTCATAGTTCTGGGGGCTGTGTGAGACTGAGAACAAGATGCTGACAGATGTGATGTCTGGGGAGGCCCCACTTTCTGGTTCCTCGACAGTGCCGTCTGTGTGTGCTCACAGGAGGGAGGGGTGAAGGGCTCCCTTAGGCTTTTATGAAATCACTGGTCTCACTCACCAGGCCTCTGTTCTCATGATGAATCCCTCCCAACTGCTCAGACTTCTAGTGCTATCACACTGGGGGTTAAAATTTCAGTTTGTGGATTTTCAAAGGCCATATGCATTCAAGCCATAGGACCTGGCGAGTCCAAATTTCTTTCCTAAGACCAAATGGTATTTTAGTGCACACATATTCCATTTTACTTACCCTTCCGCATTTTGACTATTATGAGCAATGCTGCTATTTTACAAATATTACAGTACATAGCACAGGCTAGCACTGGCTCTAAGGCTGTGTTCCCAGAACAACACAGCTGATATCAAAGGGAAATTAAGGGACACTCAGAGAGGATGAGAAGGGTTTCCCAGCCTCAGCCAAGTCCCAGGCCAGCTGTCGGTAGACACAGCTGTGCTTCGGTATCTCAGGCAGTTTAGCTGTAAGACATCCCAACGCTAGCGCTGCTTTCCTTAGCTGAATGAGTTCAATTCTGGCTCCCACCACTTTTAACTTAAATATTCTTGACTAATGTATGTTATATTAATTATGAAGGACATATTGTCCACATAGACCACACACACACACACACACACACACACTGTTGGATTGTATTCCTGAGTGGTCTACGATCATGATATTAATGTAAGAGGGAAATTCTATTGAGTTATATAAAGTGTTAAGGAAAAAAAGGCTTGCTGTGTGTCACATATACATATATATGACATATATATACGTATATATGACAGACATTATGAGACATATATATATATATATATATATGTATATTTTTGACCTAACATGATATGAAGAAATCCATAGGTACTAAGTTTCAATTAGGAACAAGTAATACCAGCACTTGGGAGGCTGGTGGATCTCTGTGAGTTTGAGGACAGCCTGGTTTACAGAGTGAGCTCCAGGACAGCCAAGGCTACACAAAGAAACCCTGTCTCAACCCCTCCCCCCAATGCCTAAGAAATGGCAAGGGTGGACTGGGAGTATTGCTTAGTTTGTGGAGTGACTGTTTGCCATCTACGGGAGCCCTGGCTTTGACCCTCAGCACAGCATAGAACTGAATGTGGCGGAGTAGTCCTGTAATTTCAGCAATGAAGAGGTGGAGGCTGGAAGATCAGCTGCTCAAGGTCATCCATGGCTACATAAAAACAGTGGAAAAACAAGGTAAATGTTTGCGGAGATAGATACGCAGACATTTACTGTGTCTTAAATATTACATGGTTTATGTATGTACAGAAAGAGAGCATGGTTCTTCAAATTTATATCCAGTGTTTATGTTCTTATATAACATTTGGAAACATGTCAGGATAAACTAATTTTAAATTTTAAAAAAGGAAGCAGAACTCCCAAATAGTCAATATTTTCAATTCCAATTACAAGAAGAAGCTGGCAAAACTAGCTAGGTCAATTACAGCGCGATATTTAAAGAGATGTGTGGCAGGTTCACAGCCCTCAGCCAGTCAACGCACATTCTGATCCAGGACCAGACAGTTTCATAGATGATCAAACATAAAAAAAAATTATATTAGTTTGAGGTGTGCTGAGACCACTAAGTGGGAAAGAGTGCTTGTCACACAAACCTGCTGACCTGTGTTTGATTCCTGCCTTCCAAAGTGGAAGAAGAGAACTGATTCCAACATTGTCCTCTGATCTCCACACATGCACTCACTACACACACACACACACACACACACACACACACACACACACACACCACTAATATTAAATTTAAAAAAATTATATTTAATAAGTGACTCTTTCAGCGCTTTGGTAGCTGATGAATCAAACAAGAGCAGTGCTTGTTTCCAGCTTTGAATTTTAAGATGTACTTATCAGTCACTGAGTGCTACCAGAATTCCTCGCAAGAGCCTCAGAGTGGAAATATAAACACACTTTCCCTCTGTGTTTAGAAGTGGAAGCAATGCCACACCGTTTATCACCAGAGAAGAATGATGAATGCTTCAGAACCATTTGGCATACAGTAGAAGATTTTTTTCTTTCCCTAAAAACATAATCTCTAAAAGCCGCATAAGAAAGAACGTCTTTGGAGAAGAAAATAAAATAAACATCATGAAAATGTGGGTATCGCCCCTATTTTCTCAGGACAGCATACGTGCATCACTATGGTTTTCTAACTGTATTATTACATTTTAACATATAATTTTTCCTAAAGCAATTATACTAAATTAGAGTAATCACTGCACTATTTAGTACAGGCAGGAAGAGTAGGACACTCAAATAATTCTGTAGGGATGTCACACAAATGCAATCCCAGAACTCAACATTAACCTACATCTGGGTAGCTCAGTTTCATTGCTTTTTTTTTTTTTAATGTATTTATCTTTATTTTATGTACATTGGTGTTTTGCCTGCACGTATGCCTGTGTGGGTACCAGATCCCCTGGAACTAACAGTTAGAGACAGTTGTGAGCTGACATGTGGGTGCTGGAAATTGAACCCGGGTCCTCTGGAAGACCGGCCAGTGGTCTTAACCACGGAGTCATTTCTCCAGCCCCCGGTTTCATTGTTTAATCAATCTTGTCTGTCCTCTTACATGACATGGCCTTTGCTTTTGTGTGTGATGTCGTGTGTGGTATATGCATGTGTTCATGAGTGCGTATGTGAGAGAATGGACACATACACGCTGATATGCACGGAGGCTCCCCGCTGTCTTCCTCAGTCATTCTCTCCCTTATGTTTGGTCTCTCACTGACTTGGGTCTCAGCGATTTGGCTGTGACATGTTTATGATGAGCCTTGCAGCTGGGAGCTATTTTGGATTGCTTTGATTTGGTCTGTCAATGAGACAAGAATGGCAGGTCCGTTTTCTACTTTGTCTTGCTAAGAACATTCAGTGTTATTGAAAAGGTCCAGGCACAATTACTAATTGTTATGAAACAGAAATGTATGATCAGGGCTTTTGCATGTAAGCATAAGGACCTGTTTAATCCCCAGGACACACTTTAAAAATGTCAAATGTGGTGGCATGAGAGTGTAATCCCAGTATGGAGGAAGAGAAGACAGATAGACTCCTGGGGTTTGCTGGTCAGCCAGTAGGTCCTACTTGATGAGTTTCAGGCCCATAGAAATGATGTCTCAAAAACCAAATAGGACAATGCCTGAAAAAATGACACCTGAACTTTTCTTTGACCTCCACCAACATGCACCCACTCAAAAACGTGTCTGTACACACACACACACACACACACACACACACACACACACACACACACA